AACGGGTTGCTTTTTTCTTTGAAGAAAATGCTTCACAAAATTTTGGTAACCTGTCAAAACACTGACCACTATAAATCATCACCTCAAGGTCACAGTAACCCGTCAGACCAGTGTAAAAACTAGTTTAAATTTAATTCCAAAATATGTAAATATTTGTTGGATTATTGGTGAGAACAGACATTGAATAAAAGCGAATTCAGCAGTTGCAAAAATTGATCAAAAGTTAGTTGTTGGATTATTTTACGTTATGTTGATTCATTTTCAGCTTGTGCGCATGTTGAATGTTTTACTGTCTTACAACTAGTAGTAGTGTATGCCTGACGGACATGTTATGCACATATGTTCAATTACTTTTTTGTTGTTCATGTGAGTACCTTACTAAAGTCCAATGTTGAAAAAAACTAATCCCGTTGTAGAGATTTTTAAAAAATTTATTCTTATAGTCGTAGCATCAAATTAAAATACAGCTCTCAAAATTTAAAATATGAGTAATTAATATAATTTTTTCACGTGATGGATACTAGCATTTGTATTTAGGATTTCTCAGTTAGATGTATCTATATGCTAATAAATTATGGCGTTTTATGGTGACTAGGGTAGGGCGTCTGTCATTTTAAATTGCACTTAACTACTGAGTGAGAGACTCAAGTCCCTGGGAAAAACAAAAAGCTGTCACAGTAAGATGGAGGTACATCCAACTGAGAAGAACTCGTACGCCTCGTATTATTTACTAAATCTAGCTGTGAAGTCCTTACGCCAACGGAAGTCGTTAAATTGGCCTAGATAAAATCATAATCTAAAATTCAAAAGAACCTATAATAAACATTCCACTTTCTTCATTCCTTATACATGTGGAGTTATTTTCATTTTATATGTCAAAAATTTATTCACTTACCTCGCAAACATCAAGTTACCAGCATGTCTTTCAGTGTGGTAATGTTGGTAGATATAATTGTTAGCTGGTTCACAACATAACATAGGAGTGGAATTTTAATTGGTAGCAATTTAGCTGTACGTTTTGTTTGCGGTGAAGTTGACGGGCCCATAGCGTAGCAGTTAGATACTGGATCTCACATATACATCTTTGATTTAACATATGAAAACGTCACCTATCCTGCAGTACAAAGTTAAGCAGAATACAAAAAGTCTGAATAGGTCAGTAAGGTGATGACAATGCATAATGCTCTTTGATGTAATCAAAAGTCGACAAATAGTCTTTTCATGTTAACTTTAACTGTGTATACAAACTGAATTATCCACTGAAGATGTTGCCTAGTAAGGTAATGAAAACTTCGCAAGTAAACCACCCAGCTCAGAGAACACTACATCAAAGTCACCCACCTGAGCTACAAATCTTCTCCACCACATACAAATTTCCACGTGTCTTGGTATTAGTTACGTTGGGAAAACATAAAGAAGGGCATACCTCTGATTATCTGGACATTTACCAAAAAGCCTACGTCTAAAGGGAGCAAATACTTATGATAGTGCCCTTGCCAGACATCCCATCTATACGGGTCATAAGGTGAACGTAAAGAAATCCTTTAGAATTGTCAATAGAGAAAATGGTTCAGTTTTCCTCAAGTTTACCGAAGCAATAGTTATCAAACTCCCGAAACCCGATTAGTATATTAAGAAAGAAACATTTGTCAGTCTTTTCTTTCCCTGGTAGATGGATTTCCTTATTCTGTCCCATTTGATTTCATAATCTTTCCTTTAAACCCCTCTTTCCTTTGCTTTAGTTTAACTTTGCTTGTCTCACGTTTCTATGATTTGACTTAAACCCAATGTATTGTCACTCAATCTGTAATTTACTCATCTTATTTACTACCTGTTTGTATTACGTAACTCTTTTGTCAATGTATCCAAGCCTTCATTTTGTTTAAACTTGAAGTTTCTGTGCATAAATTATATAAGTGTAATTTCTGGGCACTGTTTATTAAGTTTGGAGTCTCCTGTCACCCGAAATTACGTGACATTTGCAAGTATGTTGAAATTGTTCTTTACGTAGACTCAATAACCTTTTAGGCTGTACGCAGCTGATGAGGAGCCAACCAAATTAAGTGATGATACTGTCTTATTCTGCACTAACTGTTATGTTCTTGCTTTATTCAAATCTAGCTTGTACATTTTAGTACAGTATGAACTATGAGTAGTAAACTAGGAGTCATTAGTATGCAGTTATTACCTTTATTTCAGTGATGCAGTGATCAATAAAAATCTTTTCTACACTAAACACTGCATTGCCTAATATTTTTCCACCTTCTTTCTGTTTTCATGCAGATGTAACTGTTTTACGTTCTGTTCCTTTTTCTACGTGGTAATATTCTGTGAATTCATGTTTGTGGGTTTAAAATAATTCAAATAAGTAGGCGGAGTTTGTTGTTTTTTTGTTAATGATGTATCTTGTCTTATGAACACTGAAATATTCTTGGAAGTTTTCTGTCTGTGTACATCACGTGAGGCTGTTGATTGGTCCCCTGATAAAGCACACTATATTTTCCACTATTAATAAACGACTAGTACTATCAGTAAAAAAAAAGTATTTTCTGGGGCAAAATCAAAATGCGAACAGTGGTATTTTAAAGTTATTTTTCAAAAGAAAAGTGGAAGAGAGAGATGTATAACTAAATATACATTTCTTCATACTCTTTACAGTTTACTTTTCAATCTGTGTACATACCATTTTCCATAAATAATCCAATCATTTTTACTGTTTTGTGCACTATAACAGCAACCTACACTTACTGTTACATAAGTGCATTCGTTCACAGTTTTAACAGGTATTGGCTTATTCTAGCATTTATAAGTTTTTTTCTCTTACTGTTAAAAATAAATGACAAGTATACCTTTCCTAATTTTTTGCAGTCAGTTTTCTAAGCAGTTACTTTCCACTTTGATAAAAACGACCGAACACCACGGTTTGTCTCATTATTGCTCATCATGTTTTTGCACCCAACGCAAGCAGTTAAATAAATACACGTATAATAAAAGACCTATAATCGTTTCATTCCTTCTGCTTTCAGCGATCTTGTGTAAAAATCATAAATAAGTAGAACAGAGGTGACTGATGCACATCGCACTGATCTTTTCTTGAAAAGCTGTCTGTCGCTAGCACCAGGAATTACGCAGGTTGACAAATACTTCAGCATCTCTTCCCATTCATGCTGAATAACGAGTGTAGCTGAAGCCTGCGACTACTTTTGATCCTCAAAAAATTAATTGATCCATGAATTATTAAAATATTTGCATGGGATACTCATATGTTTGTATGTTATCTGTGTGCAGTACTTTATGTTTTGCGTACTATAAATAAACTCCTTGCTCCCTTGGTTTGTTCCTGACGGGTGTGATGTTAGACGCAGTGACCTACAGAGGCATAGTCATAATAACAATCAACAGAAATTATTTCATCAGTCTTAGCTGGTAGATAGTGTTGGATGTCGCCATGGGCTCTAAAGTGGTTACGTCATGCCAAGTTGATTAGTGTAATATTCCTTTCTGCCTTGTTTTTTCCACTGGTGATTCATACAAAACAACAATCTTCTGTCAATTTAACCCATCAATAAATTATGGAGAAATAATCCTTCTTCGTCTGTCGTCGGCTTGATCATTACCTCTGTGTTTCAAGTTAGTACTAGTATGACCACCCTTCGTTCCACAACTTTATTTCATAAGCTGACTATGTCCTGGCTTTTTTCAACCAGTTCAAAAGTTGTCAGACAGCAGATATTATGAAAATCTCTGGGATGACACAATTTTGGGTCATCGAAGGTAATATTCTAAGGTGCTATCACTTTTTTAAAGATCTCCACCCTGTCCAGACATTTGTTATTGGACGTCAGAATTATTACATGATGATGTCACCGAATGCTAGCAGTTTCATAGAAACATCAATGGTGGAATACAGAGTTATCATATATTCTAAGCTTGGCAAGGTAGGGTCTCACCAGCGTAAGGTGAAACTACACACCCCAAGACGTTATAAGCTGGAACTTTAAAAATTAAATCAGCTTCGAAACAGCTATAGAAGGGAAACAAATCGGCATACCTTGTTCCGGCTCTCACTGTACTCTTAAGAATTTAATTCATCACACCACCTACACTTATACAGCTAACTACATAAACATACTCTTTAGCAAACTCCAAAATTTCGGCCTTGTCAAACCCCACTTATCTATATGAACAGTGATTATAGATGGCTTTCCGTCCTCAATCTTCCTGAAGTGTTTTTAAATAGGTATTTGAGGATGCTGATTAACTTCTTAAACATACTTCTTTCTGATAAGTTATTCTGAAAAAATATATCCATCTAACCGGTCGAGAACGTGTTTTATGCCAAGAAATATCACTATGTTATAGCGACTAATCGAGGGTGAACACATGATCCATGTCTTGAATGAAACCCGTCATGCTCTTTAAAAATTGGATTCTCAATCCTTGGGTAATATCTGTGAAGCATTACAGCAACAGGTATTTTTCTCTCTACTGATATGAGATTAATATCCAAATGTTTGTCACACATATTACGTAGGTCCTTTTTATAGTTAGTTACCATATTGGCCTTATTTTGGAATGATGAAACACTCCTTCCCCTATGCTTTCGTAATTAATCCAGTCAGTTCCCCAACTAGTCTCACCACCATCTTTGAAAGTAGCTGGAGACAGGTTGTTTGGGGTGGGTGTCTTATGGCATTGGAAATATAAACCCGTGAGTCCGACTTGAGTCAAGCCTAAGAACAGTGAGCTGGAAAGCAACTTATGATCATTGCAAATTGTTGCAAATGTTTATTGATATTTATTAATTTTTTGTTTGTTGTTTAGTTACTTTTTAGATGATCATTGGAGGTATTTTGTAACCTGTTCAAAATAATATTAAAAAGTACCAAGTTGAGCAAATCAGAATACGAGAAGAAATCCTCTTCGTTGTTTGTATGCTTAAATTTGATAAATAGTATTAGTAATCGCTATTTCTGCAATCATTATTACTACTGTGTAATATGAGTTCAGTTTGTTACTACAAAGTTCTTGGATTAACGCAAACAGCTACAGATGAAGAAATACGTCGTGCATATCGTCGGCTGGCACTTAAATGGCATCCAGATAAAAACCCAACTAACTTAGAAGAGGCAGAGAAAAAGTTTAAAGAAATCAGTGCAGCCTATGAAGTTTTATCAGATCCCCAAAAACGTACTCTCTACGATCGTCATGGTAAAGACGGCTTAACTCGTACTAATGTGAAATCATCAAAACAAAATGGTGGAAGACGTCGACATACAGCATCTGGAAATTTCTTTCATGAAGACCTTTTTGATACAAATGAATTCTTCTTTCCATTTAATGATTTTGGATTTACTTTTCGAGATCCTGAAGATGTTTTCCGCGAGTTTTTCAGTAAGCATGTTCATATGATGAATGCATTTATGGATACAGCTGGACTATTTCGGTCGCATAATCATTTACACGGTTTATTTGATCATGACAGTTACTTTCATGAGAAACCTAATCGCCATTTGCACCATAAAACAAGTTATGGATCAAATAATGATAGTCAAACGAAAACACATCATGTTGAACGTGTGCGCAAAACTAGTTGTCCTCAACCCGTACCAGTGCGTAGTTTATCTACAAAGACATCGTACAGTTTCAGTTATGGTGGTAGTCGACCTGGTCATGCACCAGTTAGAAAAGAAACATTTCGATCAACATCAACAAAAATTGAAAATGGAAAGTGTGTCACTACACGAAAAATAGTCCAGGATGGTGTAGAAACTGTGGAAGTAGAGGAGGACGGTATATTGAAATTGAAAACTGTCAATGGTCGACCTGTTGCTATTACCAATGGCTAGTAAATCCTAGTAATAACGTTATCTGTGAAATAAGGTGGTTTACTTTCAAATTCGTTTTTGGAATGTGCTTATGTAATACATCTCTTTTATACTAATAATTGTTAATACAATTCATTATTATCCTCCTTTCTCAAATCAAGTGAATATCTGCAGTCATTAATAATGTCATCATTACTACTTCAGATAGCACAACATTTTTTGTGTCTAATAGAAACTTCAATATTCATTTTCAAATTTCACTGTCTATCTGTTACCTCCGTTGCATTCTACTGTTGCACCTTAATTCGTTCATGGCGCGAAACACATGTTACTTGTCACTCTCTTCCTTGTAATCTTCCTTTTTTTTATAGTGCATTTCTCCTTATGTTTTTTTTCATCTTCTTTCGCCGTTTCCTTATTAGCTAAACAATCCACCTACCTACTGCAGCTTTCTTCGTCTTCATTTTTTAAAAATCCAACACAAGTCTTCTTTTATGTCTAAATATACTTCTATTCTGTTTACACTTCAGATAACTAATTCATCAGCTATATTGTGGAGCAATACAATCAGTTCCTTCGAGGTTTTTTTTTACATGCATATAATTGTGTATTCCGTGTATTGTTTTGTTTTCAATCAACTGTGATTTTAAGCAGGATCTGTTTCCTCTATGTTTCTATTTGCTGCTAGTGTTCATATTTATATCTTCATGTGTACATTATTGTGCTTGTGTCTGGCTGTTTGTCTGTAGGTATTTTTCTGTGTGTTTCTTATTCTATGGCGTCTTACAAATGTTAAAGATTGTTGTGGCTCGAAATATATAACTGTTCGAATAGAGTGAAAATAAGACAGTGGATTGTGTTGGTTGCTTTTCCAGTTTCTTTTTTTTTTTGCTTCCCTCTAATTATTTTAATTAACCCTGAGATTACCTCAGTATAAATACAAGTATTTTTTTGAAAGAACCATTTAGAAATCAAACTTTAATGTTGTGCGCGTGTATATCATTGAAATGCACCTTTTTATATGATATATATATATACATATGATAGAAATATATGTTATGTTATATTATTGGTTGAATAACTTTGGATGGATATATTTTCCTCGTGTATTGCTTAATTCAGCTATTGATATGTAAACTAATGTATTCTTGTAAACAGCTTTAATCGCAGGCGAAAAACAGCTTTTAAGGAAATTTGTTAAATGGTGAATGTTATTGCTTTACGAATTTCGAAAATTAAGTGATTCTGAAACATCATTCCTTAGTACAGTTTTGTAGAGATTAGCGGTACTAGTTTCATTGTTAGGTTAGCCTTTACAGTCACTATTTCATCATTATTGGATCGTATGTGTGTGTTATATGCCTTAAGGAAACTAGTACAATTTTTTAATTATCATAACTAAGTGAGATTTTGATGTTGCGTTTAGCTGGGTTATTGTATCTATATGTTATTCCTCGGCGGTAGAACACTCGCCAACCGCACACGTGGTATGGAGTTCAATCCCTGCCGACGGTCTCCTAAACTTTGCTTAACCAGTAGTAAATCCGAAAAAGAAAGAAGTGTGGGCACGAGTTTAGCAACCTCAGCCTGTAAAAGATAAACACCACTGTCACTGAAACTTCGAAGCTCAAGCTTAAAGTCCTATAATCTACTTGGAACGCAAAAGAAAAAAAAGAGAAATTCTAGCTGGTTTCTGCACTGTTAGGCCCCCTATCATTAGTTTATACTTTACGTAGCTAGAAAAAAGAGCCTAGATATAACGTTGACATTCAATTCCATATGTTTATTGCTCAGCCTCTGAAACAGTCTTTTAAATCACTGAAAAAATGTGGTTGGTGGGTCGCGTTTGACGTAACCCGAATATCTCACCGTTTATATCTGAAATGCTTGAAAGCATACCTGATACCACCAGCCTATTACTCTAAACAGTAGTGAGTACTATTGCATTATGCATAACATACAAAACAGACACATGATAATGATTGAAAATTTAAAGACGCTTTATGAAATTACAATTCACTTTAAAAAGAATTACAGATGTTCTTAAGATATTTTGTCCACAGCCATTTCTAGAATAATTGAATAAGGCAAAAAAATAACTGAGTTTAATGGAAGACTGAAAAGTATAGTATTTCATTTTATCGTGGATGGAACGTTGATGTAAGATAATAATAATAACAGATGGAAAGAATTGAAATCGTGGAGACTGCTTAACTATCTACAGTCAGAATGATGACATATTTCATAGAAGTGTAACCAAAGGTTTGACTGTGGTGAGAGCTGGCTGTTAGCCAAAATTGCTGGACAGTAATTTACGTCAATGTTTATGTCCACAATATTGGTCGTGAGAAAAATGAGAACAAAGGCTTTGCGTAGGCGGATACAGTTAACATATAGATGATCTGACATTCAAGAAACAGTCACAAAGAGATGCGAGGTTAACTTTCTGTGAGAAACAACCAATCAGAAGACTGTGTTTTTCTGCTAACAATAGTCTATAATAATGTACATGAAAATCTATAAATATGTGTTAATTTCCTTAATAAACGATCTGTTGCCTGCCCTTGTCTTCTGTTGTTACAACTGCAGTAGCCAGGTACTATGTCTATGTCTGGTGGTAAGAAAGTGTGCTACACTGATCAAAGATATGTATTCAAAGTGACACAGTCGCGTAAGCGCTTGAGGATAGTTATCATCTAATTCAACAACAATCGGAGATTAACACTGTCGATATACAATGTTACCAACTTTATTTGACTTTTATAATGTATGTGCCGGAGTTGAGTGTATATGACTTTGTGATGCCATGAATTGACGTTTTACTGTGGTAATTTTTCAGCCGATATATTGGTCTCCTCAGTCTATTCTGACTCCTGATTTAGAAAGAAGTGATGAAACGGTCGATTATTTGGGGAATCGCATCAGTTGTAGGATCTGGTAGCTGACACGTTCTTAGCACAGCTAAAAAACTGTTGAATCGCTGTATACTTCTTGGTAAGTTTCTTACTGAAATAAATCAAAATTCTTCATTGCTTAATATCAACACTACATTTCACCAAATTATTCTACAATACGTCTTGGTTCGTCACAGTATCAAGACAAGGTTATATGGATTTGTCACTGAGTTGGATGATAAGAGTTGGGAAAATTAGAGTAAAATATGGTATTGTTGCAAAGGAGATACTTTAAAACAGAAAAAAGGTTATTTTTATGCAAGTAAAAATTCAGGAATTACATCTGTATATATATATATATCCCCGGGTAATACGTCAGTGGTCTTTTAGATTGACCATCGTTATTTTACACTTTGTCAGTTCGATTCATTCACCGCTGTGCTTATTTTCAATATCTCAAATTTCGATTTCTTCCAGATGGTGCTTCACTACTGGTCTTACTTAAACTCATGAGTTTTTGAGTGCATTATGTGAATAAAATCATTCGTGTTTACATATATGAGGTTTATGAGAATTTCAAGGTAAAATTCACCAGCAGTTGACAACAGATAGGGAGTCAAGTAGTAGTTGGCGTCTTTTCCTTTCTGCCTTTAGACTGTTGAGGAGTCTTCGCTCACTGTTTAATTAGGCTGTAAACCTGAGAAATCCAGGTTTTGAAGTAACCTCTACTAATAGGTTTTTAGTTTCAACAAAAAATTTCCCGAAGTTGCAGTAAGAAGTGACGAACAGTCGAGTCTGTTATTTCAGGTGTAACAACAGTTGGCGACAAATGAAAGGCGGGTGGGTCGGGAAGACGATTTTGCTCAAATTAGCGTAGTGTAAATCATAGGCAGCTGAATTTTGATCCAGTACCCGAATATCATCTGAAAATATTAACCAAGAAAATGACCAACCCTCTTCAGTTTCACTATTTCTCCAGTTGCTCGTGGTTTTCGACAAAGTCTGTCATGAGGTTGCTAGTCTCTTTATGCATAAATGAGCGTCAGATGCTGCTTTGTTTAAAAGGTGCACTTGGTGATCTTTTTGAAGCGTGAATTACAACTTCAAAATCAACCAGGTACATCAATTCTTCTTCCTCACTGTGGGACAGCTATTGCGCTTCTTTTGCGATACTTATATTCAAGAGGCTGATTGCCTGAAAAAACTCAGTTAACACAAATACAGCAGATGAAGAAGGATAATACCATATCAATTCATTCTGCTGGTCAGCATCATCACAGAAATTTATTCTAGATATTATATTTTTAATGATGACTAGTCAAGTTAGTACATTCCATTGTATGTAGAAACAGCTAATCGAATGAGTGTCTCCAGTGAGGTTGAACACAATACCTGTCGTTTCTAAACATAGTGAGGCATGAGAACTAGTTGTTCTTCTGTTATTTAAATGTGAAAATGCACAAAAATCGTCACCATAATTTAGTTAACTTAGAAGAAAATGTGAATGCGTCGGTGGCACAGCGGTAGAATGCTCGCCGACCACTCATGTGGTCCGGGTTTCAATCTATGGCTTACTAACTACGGATCCTGAGCTCAGTCATAGTACGACTCTGTCCATTGAAGAAATTATTTTAGGGATTCAGTTATGCCTCACATCTACTATCTTTAAGTTCCAAGGCAAAATATATAAACAAACAGAAGGTGTAGCAATGGGATCACCAATATCCCCTATTGTAGCGGACATATTTATGGACAGCTGGGAAAATAGTGCCCTCAATACATTTAATCCTACTCCAAAAATATGGTGGAGATATGTGGATGACACTTTCACAGTGTTAAAAACAGAACATATCTTTAGCTTCTTGACACACATAAACTCACAAGTTGAGGGAATAAAATTCACATTTGAATCAGAAAATGAACAAGGAGAATTAGCTATGTTAGATTGTAAGATAAAAAGAATAGAAGAAGGCAAACTACACACTAGTGTTTATAGAAAACCAACGCATTCTAATAGATATTTAGACTTTAATTCGTCTCATCCTTTAACTGTTAAGGCAGGCTTAGTTAAATGTTTAACAAACCGAGCAGTGGCACTAAGTAGCACAAAAAAAGATCTAAATGATG